CGTTTTTAATTTTTTTTTTTTTTAGAAAAACAATTATGTAGACATGGTATAAAAAATCGTAATTTTAGTGTTGGTTGTATTGGTTGGTACAGGTGCAGGGCCACAAGATTACGTTCCTCATCGTACATGTAAGGAAGGATGGTACGACTTTTTCGATTGCGAACATGACTGTACTAAGCTAAAGAAAGGGTACGCATATGGTTTATGTCTTCCAAACGGACATTGTTGTTGTCTCCGCAGTACAACTCGGTCTTCTTCCTATAAATGATAATTTTCATAATTGATGAATGATGTTTATCTTGGTATTGGGTTCCAAAAATCGACTTTTCTATTGTTAGTTCTATATATTACCAACTAAGTTTAAAGAAATAAAAGAAATATTTTCGTTTTATCGCTTTTATTAAAAATCATAAGATTTTCTTGTTCCTTTTAGCTTTCTCATATCTTTCTACGATTAAATCTATATTGTATTGTACGACTACTAATCCAATGCTTTTCACATGCTTCTCGCGATATCCCATAATCTAGAAGTATTTGTGAGACAAAACATAATTAAACAGGAATCTGAAACCAAATTTTAGAAAGAACAAAATGTATGAAGCGATGGAGACGTAAAATTTTCTCTTGTCTTTCTGACGAAAATCCAAAATAGCCTAAAAATAAAGTCTTCTTCTGCATGGGTGCCATAAACTTTTCTCTTGTCTTACCAAATAGCCTAAAAAGGGGTCGTCCTATTACAAACGATTAGGTTATGACGCAATTGGGTGGTAGTTTCATTGGTTTGTCATGGACTTATGAGAAAAGAGTTATGATTCTTACTATTTTTTATCTCTCTCAACTCTTATTGATTTATATCCCTATTAGATCTGGGCCTATGGTATATAAAAATTAAAATAATAATTACTATATAGTATACACTGTTAATATTAAAAGTATATCTTTGATTGTGTATTTACGATATACTACTGTTCTTGTAATAATTCACACTAACTAAATAAAGAATTATGCTAGATATGCATATATACAAATAACAGCAAAAATGGAACTTTGATTTATGATTGAAAGAAAAAGTAGGAAAGAAATTAAATTTTTATTTTTACATAAATTCATATAAATAGGACTCGTTGTGAAGAACTAAAAAATCATATACTCCATAGAAAATAAATAATGGCTATCTTAAAAACCGTTGCTACTTTTTTTTCTTGTAATTACATTGGCAATTGGGATGTCTAACTACAATGTTTTGGCCGACCCATGTATGATGCTTCTTACAAAAGTTTTTTTCTTAACTTTGTAATTTTTAAATTATTTTTGATCATTCTCAGAGCAATATAGTTGAAGATTGTTTTAAAAACAATATATAGAATCAACAGTATCCATTTATATGTGTGTGTATCACCTTCTTAGTAATTTTGATTTTTTTTCTTTCAGAAAACCAATTATGTAGACATGGTATATATAAAATGATAATTTTATTGTTGGTTGTATTGGTTGGTATAGGTGCAGGGCCACAAGATTACATGCCTCGTCGGACATGCATACCAGCAAGGTACGAGAATTTTGAATGCGAACATGACTGTACTAAGAGAAAGAAAGGGTACAACTTTGGAGCATGTCTTCCAAACAGACATTGTTGTTGCGTCCGCTAGATCTTCTTCCTATTCTGGTATTGGGTTCCAAAAATTGACTTTTCTATTGTTAGTTCTAAACATTACCAAATAAGTTTAAAGAAATAAAAGCAATATTTTCGTTTTATGGCTTTTATTAAAGTCAACGATATTAATTAAAAAAAAAATCATAAGATTCTCTTATTCCTTTTAGCTTTCTCATCTCTTTCTACGTTTAAATTTGTATTGTATTAATCGTACACTTCTAATCCAAAGCTTTTCACATGCTTCTCGCGAAATCCCATGATCTAGAAGTATTTTTGAGACAAAACAGGATGTACAAAGCGATGGAAACGTAAACTTTTCTCTTGTCTTTCTGACGAAAATACAAAATAGCCTAAAATAAGTTTTCTTCTGCATGGGTGCAAGAAACTTTTCTCTTGTCTTTTTGACGAAAAGTCCAGATTGCCTAAAAAGGTCCTGCTACAAACGATTAGAGAAAAGAGGAGCCCAAACGGCTCAACATTCATGAAGTTCTCCGTTGGTAATTAAATTTTGCCGTATTGTGGAAATTGCAATTCTGATTTCTGTTTATGAGCTGTTGAACGTTACAAGTGTCCAACAACAACCGAACAACGGATTATACCATAATTAAAGACAATATGTATCGTATAGAGATTTTATTTTTCGTTCACGATTGTATCCATATGTTTTCCCTTTTAGCATCAGATTCTATATGCTCTGATCATCATCTATTTGAACCTTTTGCATTTGATTGTGTTCCTGTATTTGTGAAAAAATACTGGCTTTGCGTGAGTTGTGAACTCACAATCTTTGGATAATGACCTGTGTGAGTCGTTATCTCTAATTATTTCATTAAAATATTTTTCATGACTAGGATTAGAGATCAGGGAATCGGATCTTCATCAAGTTATAGCTAGATATTTGCCTTTTGAATTTTGGTCCTACCAGTATTTCTCAACTTTGCCTTAGCTGGAGATTTTAGTCTTTGTTGTTAATATCTTTTGTACCTTGGCCTGAAACCGAAGAACATATTTGTGACTTCGGATTGGTGAAGTTTGCATTCGATTATACTCCCACAACAATCTTTGGAAGGTTAAGAAAGGAAAACATTTTCTTCGAAAATCATAAAAGTTAATTTTGGGGAAAAAAAAAATTACTCAGAGTATTTAATACAGAAAAAAATTAAAAGTAAAAAGCAAACATAAGAATAAACAGAGTATCCAAATTGTAATGCTAAGAGCTGACAAAGAAAACCACAACGAGCGTATTTTTCAGCAATTTTGAAATATACTGCAATATTTTGATTTCAACTTTTCCAATATTTTTTTTTCATTTAAAGACTTCAACAGTATCTTCTCCAGTCAGATATTGCATTAGATGATATTGATTGTAATTTCAGTTTTTTCCAACTTTGAGAATCATAGGTGTTAATATATATTTACTCAAATCATAGGAGTAAATGGTCATTTTTGTAAGATTTTTTTCTAATGAAAAGCTCTTTCTCACACATAAACATTTATTTATATATGTAATTTTCTCAATTGTATTTATTGTGTTTCATTGAATTGGCATGTATAATAAATATATTTCCCAAAAAGTGCAATATATATATATATATATATATGGAAGATTTAATTCCGGTCAAAATCTAATAAATATTGGATAGTAAAGTGAGACCTTTCTCGACAAAGATTTGTGTATAAATAGTATAATTCTTCATGGGAACTAAGGAATTATATTTTTTTCTTCTCCATAGAAACAAAACTTATACTATGGATATCACAAAAACTCTCATCACTTTGTTTCTTGTAATACTATCGGTACTTTCGTTGTCCAAGTATTACGTTTTGGCCGCATCGGGTATAAGTAGTCAATTCTTCTAAAATATTATTATTGTTTATTATCATTAGAGAAATAGTTGATTTTTTTCATTTATTCTTAAAAAAATTGAATCACCTTCATTCCAAAAAATAATAAAAAAGTTGAATCACCATTTATTTGAATGTGTATTCTTCATGTTTTCTAAGTAATTTTTTTTTTAAACATCATTTATGGTATATGTATAGTGATAATTTTAACTTGAATTGTACATATGCAGGGAATAAACCTGATCGTTGCCGTTATCCATGTACGCCCGGAAAGTACGAACTATATGAATGTTCCTTTGACTGTTCGGTGGATGGGTACAGAACAGGGTATTGTAATGGAAAAGATGGAAGATCTGGAATATGCTGTTGCACCGACAAAAGAGGATCCGATAATTAAATGTTTTGTCTTTTTTTTTTCAAATGATTCCTATTCTAAGCTTTCAATTGTACTTGGTAAAGTTGAATACAATAAAACTATTGAAAACAGATTTTTAGTAGATCCAAACCCTCAAATCTCTGCTCATATCATTGCAGTATAGTTTAAGGTATCAATCCAAATCTCAGGAGAAGATTGGGTTTAAAGATTGAACAAGAAAACTTCAAGCCAAGAACAAGATTTGGTTTTTATGAAATCCGAACGTTAAACAGTAAAATACAAACTTAGAACAGTGAAATAACGGTCCAAATCCAAAATTCAAAGAGGAAAGAAATCGACTTTGAGCTAAAAGACTTGAACTTTGATAAGAAAATGAAGAAAGGCGATGGCTTTAGGTGATTTCGGATGGAAATCGAGCTAAAGGAAGAAGCTTTAAGACTTAGAAGATAAAACCGAGTTTCTAGGCTAAGGAAAACGAAAGCAAGAGCTTATCACTATCGTGAATGAGCTCGAATGCAAGGTCCAAACTCAAGACTCACTATCGTGAGTGAGCTTGTACACAAGCAAGCTTTAAACGCAGATCCCATCACCAAAAAGCCCTCTAAACAAGTCGCTATCGCGAGCTAGAGAAGCGGATCCCTTGTCTTAGATTATCTAGCTCCTCAAACACACTTTTGATGTGTTGAGAGCTTGAGATCTGAGCCAAGATGATCAGAAATGACTCAGCCTTAAGGGCACTAAGCAAGGAGAAACTCTAAAGGTTCTAGCTTTAAGCCCAAACTCTCCTTTAAAGCTCTCAAAACCGAATCACCTAAAACGATCTAAAGACTACTCACTCATCCTGTTTGACAACCCGATTCTCATAAGAGGAAGGTTGTTTACAAGTAAATGAGATGCAAGTAATCAAACGAGTAAACAAGTACGTGATTTGATTAAAGAGAAAGAGACCAAAGCTTACAAAGTCTAGATCTCAACTAGAGTATTTCTTGGTGGCAAAATGAAAGACAAATTACAAGATGCCTAAAAACTTAGGACTTTTTAGTTTATATAGTGGGACTCTAAAACCCTTCTTCTTTCCTTCCCCAAGATTTAAGCTCCAGAACGCCGCGTTTCATTAAGGCATGGTCAACTCTCTTCTTGGTCAAAGAAAGCTTGTAAGGCGACAAACGGGTTCTGATCCTGGTTCGCATCCCGGTTGCTCTTTGTCTTGACGTCTCCGACACTCCTTCTCCCAAATGGCTCCAAAAGCTCCATTAAGCACCTGATTCAGACTCAAAATGCAATGTATATGCAATGCAAGTCCTAATGAAGATGCATGTGAATAGATAGAGATATATGGATATAAATGTATGAGAATGGCCAATAGGTGGAAATATGCATGTAAATGTATGCTAATGTATGTTAATATATGTGTATATCAACTATACAGTATTTTTTATTGTGCCATGGATTTTATTTAAAAACTAATTATTTCAACGTTGGTCTTTTATAATCTAAATTATTAATTAGTCACTACCGAAAACAAAAAATCCATATTTGTTAAATTAATCTCTTCCCCCATTCATTTATTGTCTGGGTAAAGATTTTGATTAAACCGGAAATGCAAAGCCCGGTTCAATTCGAAGACCAAAAAGTTTACAGACTTGAATTCGAAGACCATAGATTTCCTTCTGAGCGATCTTTGTGTTGATTGGTTTGATCAATTCCTGCGAATCCGAAGCGATTCTTTATCTCTTTCAAGCCGAGGACTCGGGCGTATTTGAAGGTTCTTCCTTGTGATCCTTAATTGAGAGTGCTTTTTGCATTATCCTTGAAAATCCATCCCAATTTGGTTTTTGATTTTTAATCCACTTTCCTCTTCTTCTTCCTTGGGATTCTCCATCTCCTAAAATGGGCATCAGAGTTTTTCTTCGCTCGCTGCTGAGTCGATTGATTTCGTCAATTTCACCGTCTATTCTTCCGATTGAGTCTTCTTTGTTCGGTCGTTCCGCCACATTTCAGATCCGTAAAACCTGATGGTCCGGCAACAGCCGCCATTCCTGCGCCGTCGTATTCATTGTCCGTAATTCTTGACAAGCAGTGATAATCCAGGTTTATTCTCCATAACCTTATCACACAATTTCGAATATAGGATAAGGAATATTGTGACAAGATTTTGCCTTCATTTTTGGTTCCTCTGTGAAAAGAAAAATCGTGGAGACTGCATTTTGGTTGGCATTGAAAGGTGACCTCAACATGTGTGAAATAGCAAAGTTTTTCATTTCTTCAGTTTAGAGTCGTTTACGAGAACGTTTGGTCAGACAAGTACTTGTAACGTAATCCTCATTTTTGAGATGAGTGAGGCTTGTTTATGTTTGTCACTTTAGACAACCCTGTTTTCTATGTCTTTAATCTTTTGTAGGAACATCTAAGTCTTCTTACAAGGTATTTAGATGGGGAAACAAGAGTCATGTGATTCATCTTCTTTGCACTATTCGAGGCGTTTTGATGACATAAAACAGATTAAACGTTCTTTCTTATGTTCGCTTTTTGCATTTGTTGTTAGTTGATGTTTGATGGATTCTTTTATTGCTGACTTTGAAGAAAGGACTATGAAGAAGATGAAGCCCATTTGTTTCAAGTTTAACTGATGTTTTCAGAATTGCTCTTAGTTCATTCATATAAGGTCTTCATCAAAAGAGACTTGGGACGATTCAGACAAAAAGGACGCACCGACTGCCACATAAGCAGACTTCAAATTCGGTGTTTAGAGTTTTCATGTACTTGCATTGGCTAACTACTGTAATCGTTTTTTTTTTTTTTTTGCATATGGAGAGTCATTTTGTGTTTTCCTTTCATGTTTCCTTTGTACTTGGTTTACTTTATTTACCTCAAATCCTATGTATGTACATAAATCTCATGATTCGTTTGATCAAAAAATAAAAATATAGTATATATCTCATGATTCTCATATTTTATTGGCGTTTTTGCTATTGTGATTTTTGAACCATTAAGTACCAAATACCAAGTAGAAAGGTGGCTTTGAACATTGAGAGTTGCATATTCGTCTAGATCACAATAAACAAGGTATATTTACAAGACAAAGTTCAAAACGACTAAACGATAAGAAATACGCTAAACAACAAGATATAAAATAACCTAGTATCTACTACCCTAGTAACGGCACCTGACCTAAACCCTGGTCCTCCGTAGTAGAAGTGACTCTTCCACTCATCTGTGTAGGCCGTCTTGATATCGTAGCATTCAGGCTGCGTTACCAGTTTTTCGTAGTCTTGAACCGTCTGGAGACTGTTGTTCTTATCTACCATCTCAATGTTCCTGAAATAGCTACTGTTTCTGAATCCTTCGGCCGGAAAGTGGCCGGACCCCATCTGAGTCTTCGTGTGTTGCCCGTGACTTGCCGAGTTTAAGATTTCTCCGCCCCATTCTGCGACGACCGCGTGATCAGCTAAAGTCGTAAAAAGTTCTCCCGGCCAGTATCCTATCACAGAGCTGTTCGAACCTAAGCTCAACCACCAGTTCCCAGATATGCGATCCTACAAAAGAAAAACCAAGAATATATATAATTTTAACATGAAAAATATAGAATACACAATAAAGGGTATAAACTCAATGAGAAAAATAAAGAAACTAACCCTCCATACGAGGATGGTAATCTCATACTGGCTACCTCCAAAAGAAGAAACAGGAGTAATCGAACCTCCAATGACAATACTGCTACTGGTTTGTATAAAACCAGAGCACTTAAGGTTATAGCAGCCATGTTTGTAGGAATCACTCTGTAAAATTTACATTGTTGTTATTAGCCAGTTTTGGGTTTCTCATGAATATATTTATATATTTTTTTTAATTTTAATTTTATGATATAATTAAAATTAATAACCAAAAATATGAACAGAAAGAAAATTACCGTCCAAAAGACAAATAGTCTCGGCTTGTTGTCGAGATACATCCTGGGAAGAACCTAAAAACGTTTGAATAATAATAATAATAAGTTAGTTATTCATAATAAAACAGCAAAAATAGTTAATATCTCAACAAAAATTTAACGTACCTGGCAACCGACTTCTATCGTGTTAAGATTACCCGTCTCGTATTTCCCGGCAGCAATCCACATCTGAGCTATGGACATTTCATCTCCCTCAATCTCAGGATCCCACACGTTAATCGTCGCCTTCGCTCCATATAGGTAGTCTCGTGGGGTTTCTCTAATGACGGCATACTATCATTTCAAGAAACAAGTTGAAAATTTTTTTGAGACGACTGCATATATGTAAAGTTAAGTTTAAAACGTATATCAGTTAAAAAGAAAGTTTAAAAGGTATATGTTTTAAGCATGCTAATAACTTTAATTCAAAATTTGACATTTATGTATTATGTAAAGTTCAGTTTAAAACTAATTCAAATTGTTATATACTCATCTAAAACTTATGAAGTTTGATACGTAGCTAACTAAAGTATCATGTCACTTGTTCACACAGATAGCAGATCCAAACAAACAAAAAAACCATTATGTGACTACGGGACATCATTGGGCCACTAGTGATTCTCATTGGGCCATTAGTGATTCTTATTGAGCTATTTAGTAATCTTGGGCCATTATCGATTCTTATTTACACCCAACAAGATATACATAACAGGTAATCTTGGGCCATTGGTGATTCTTATTGGGCCATTTAGTGATCTTGGGCCATTAGCGATTCTTAATAAGTTAATATTAGTGTTATTACTTGTTAACCTTGTTAACGTTGTTATTGACAGTGAACTTGATAAATCAGTTAAAAATATTGAGGAAAATATGTTTAAAATTACCTCGTGTACAGGTGCGTGAGTCGCCGTGTGAGATGCTGTCCCAACGTTCAGGCGGCTATCATTGTAGATCCGTATCGGTACTGTTCCCGCCGGACAATTGGCCGTACTAACTTGGGCTTCCCACGATTGCAAATTGTTTCTCTTTCCTGTCTCGACTGTCCGGGGAATTTCTGACGGCGATTCCTGTTTTTTTTTTAAATGAAAATAACATTCATATCAAAATTTAAGTTAACAGATTTTCCAAGGAAAATATTAACATATAAAAAAAATCATAAATAATAAAACAAACCTGGAATCTGTGGTTTTTTAACAATGTATTGTTGAATGCCGGTTGAATAATACTGTCGACGCATTGGACGTCGTCTCCATCCGAGGCCTGAAAAAAATCACATTTTAAATTTACTAAGATAACAGTGTAAATTAATATAACGTTTGAAAATCTACTAAGATAACATTTGTAAATTAAGATACTGTTTGAAAGTCTACTAAATAACGGTGTAAATTTACTAAGATAACGTCTAATAATCTTAATTTGTGATTAATTAAGACAAAGTAAGAGCTATGTGGTCCAAATCTAAGAGGTGTAATTCAACCATCGATTTTAATAGAGTTTAAAAATCCACATAACATCATAGTGTTATTGGTTCATGTATTGGTGATATATATATTTGATATATATCTTTAATGATTTGTTTTAACTTCAATTCTTTTGAAGAAATAGACACATTGCCATAGATTTTTAAAGTTTAGATAACTCATATACATTGAATTGTAAAATGAATAATAACTGATTTTAAGATTCCGCCGAATTAACATTTTTTTTCGAATTAGTATGTGGGTTTCATGTACGGAGTACGGACACCGGCCTAATTAACGATTTTCCTCAAGAAGAAAATGAGAAGTATAAAATTTACTGAGATCTGTATGATAACGAATGAAATACAGATACTTAATGTTTGGTGTTTTAGGTTTTTGTGAGTTTCCAATTGGAGAAATTTTTGGGCTTTGATTAGGGCAAAAAGTACCTTGATTGTCACCCCAAGTCTCACAAGCTCAAACAAGATGATGACCCGAAGGATTCTGGCGAGATACATCGTCACTCTTCTCTCAGGATCTCTCTCTCTATCTCTCTCTCAATGGAGAAAACTCTAGCAACTCCCGTAAACACTAGACGCTCTCTTTCACCGTCATGCTCAGTCGCCGGGAAATCAGGTTTCGAGCGCAAAACCAGACGGAGATTGTCCGAGACGAAGGCACGCGTGTATGGCTCTGATACTGATATCACAGGATCTCTCTCTCTCTCTCTCTCTCTCTCAAAAAACAACTAAGGAGAAGAAACAAAGGAAACAGAAAAGAGAAGAGAAGGAGGAGAATGAAACAAAGGTTTTGGGACACACTCTCAATGGCGATTCTCTCTCTCTCTAAAAGACAAAAAAAAAAAAGAGGAGGGGGGAATGAACATGAATACGTAGAGAGATAAAGTTGTTAACACAAACTCTAGAACTCTATGATCTCGGATATTGGTCGCGTGTCAATGTCATCTTTAATATAATTACTAATTAGGGTACGCCAAGTGTTGTTTTACTTCATTCACAGTGCCAATTTCTTACGATATTTTTTTCATGATGAAAAATTAGTTACGATATTTTATTTTGTGTGAAAAGGTTTAAATTATTAACGATATATATGACATATTATATAGTTTAGTTGCTACTTATTTATTCTTTAACACATCTTTTCAAAATATGAATTAGTGACGGTAAACTCAAATGTATAAAAATTATGTCGATTTCGAAATTGGAAAAAAAAGAATCAGATCTGACCATAATATCAATTAGGGCAATCTACAGAGCATTAGCAAAAAGACAAAAAAAGGGTGTTAATCTTTATTGAAAGACAAAGAGTTATGAGTTATGAGTTATGACCATGTGGAGTTCAGTGAGTCTTTGATGAATTTTCACCAATGTGTAGGAATGAATCTAATGATAAAAGTTCTAGTTACGTGATTATTTTTCTTTGAATCACAAATGAAGTTCAGTAGACTGGGAGTTATGTTTTTTTAAAAACAGAACATAGGCGTTAAGAAGAAAAACATGGATTTTATTTTGTGCATAATTCACTCTAGTTCTGTATAAAAGAATAAGCAACTTTGCAGGTGAAGCTTCTATTAATTTCGTTTCATTTCTTAAAATTTTCATAATATTTGTGCTGTTGGTTAGTATTTTAATCCTGTTTTATTTGGATTTCAATATTGCCTAGAAATGTTCATTCGTGTCTCTTGTCCATTTCTCACATGAGTTTAAAAGTTTGTGTAGTCACCAATAGTGTTTTCTATTATTTAGACATGCGACCATAATAAACATAGATACATAGTGTAAGACAGCAATGTAAACTAAATTGTGTAATCGTAGTTTGGAAACCAAAATCTTTCAATTACAGTAAGAAAATAAAAAACGACACTAAAAGTGTATACTCCTGTTTCTTGGTCTGTTTAATCCTGGTGTCGTTTAATCCTGGGGTCTTTTTTATAAGGAAAGGTATAAAATCTAGTGCATCAACAGCTGATCTTGGTCTGTTTAATCCTGTTTTTTTACGAGTTTTTTTGTCTATTCTTTTCTGAGTTGACGAAAGAAGAAATTCATGCGGAGAACACAAAACAGCCCGTGTTTTCACTTTAACAACAAAACGAGAATGGTATATTTCAAACTGCGTCGTTTCAATTGATCATAGGCAATTTATGCTGGACCACACTGTATATACTCTTTTCAAAAAGTTTTGGAATCTCTAACTAACGATTTGCATCCGCAAAAATTAATGACCATGGGATCAATTTACATTGATAAAAAAGGTAGTTGGATAAGCCTATCAAACATCGATAAATAAAGACTCATTTTCTATCGATTTTTGTTTTTATAGCAAAGTATCGAAATCTCTTTATTGCTCGACTTCTAGCTTTAGAAAATGTTGTTGTTTAGTTTCAAACTTTTTTCACTCTTGTTTACTCCTTTTTTATTATACACTAAACAAATAATATCTCTTTAACTAACTTGTGTAGTCGTGTGATGGACTCTCTCTCTTACTCGCGGTTTTCGTATTTATTTGTACTTTTTGTTTTGCAAATATGTATTGCCTTTTTTTCTTCTTAATATATGTTGTCCATCCCTTTCGTTTCTTTTGGGTTTGGTAAATTTTTGTGAACGTACACACAATATAATTAAATTTCATTCTTTTTGTAACTGTAGCTGTTTAATATCATCTTATTTAACCCAAATTCGGTCTACAACATATACTAAAATTGTCAGCAAAATTTAAGAACTTACATTTTATCCACTTGATCTATAAACTTCAAATATGATTTCATCATATTTCAGGACTGGTAAATGTTTTGCAGACGTTTATAATTCAGCATCTAAATTTGGTCCGTGAAGAACTAATTTATCCACATAAAACCACAAACCTAATTTGATCTACGATATAACTAAACATCACTACAGAAGCTAAATATTTCAAATAGATATGAAACATGAACTAATTAAGTTTTTCAAACAAACTAGAAACTTAAACTTGGTTCACTTGAGAAACTTTGTGTACTTGAACTTTCAAGCTTAGTCCATTATGTCTACTAAAAAAATAAAAATACATATTCAAACTTGGTGTACGGAGTAATTGTCAACAAAATTTTAGACTTAGTTTTAATACACTCAGCTATGTAACCTTTCATCATTTTCAAGTAATTCTCTTTATTAATATCAGTTACAGTTGTTTGGCTAAAGAACATGTCAGTTTCAATTTTATTAATTCTTTTTTTTTTTTTTTTTTTTTAACGACTACAAACGGAAGATTCTTTTGAGAGAGAAATGATGGAAAAAAAAATGTGTAAGGGATAAATGGGAAAAAGGTGGGAAAGAGTGAAAAAGTTGTTCCAGATAGGTTTTAGGTTTTGGAAAACGTGTAATCAAAAGAATGAGAAAAAAATGGGTCCACGAGACTATAAAACACGAAAAAGAGACGAAGCAATGCTTTCTTTTTTTGGCTAAAAAACAGATATCATGTTGCACAATAACTTACTGAGACATGATATCAAGCAACGCTTACTGAAAAAAACTTGTAAACTAAATATGTCTTATACTAATAGTAACAAATTAATACAAAATTTTGTTACTTTCTACACTTCCACCATTTCATACGTTTTACTATAAGAATGCTGCTATCTTGAAGACGCCAGGGCTAAAGCCGTTGTTGCTGAGACTTAATTACGTAAGAATCTTTTTCCGCAACTCGGTGGCTTCGGGTCTTCGGGAGAGGTGTTTCCGCTTGAGTCAGAGGTTAGAGTCTGCGAAGAGTGTAATACAGTTAGTGACAATCGAGGTGAGAGATATTGGTGGTTTGTTGACAATTCACAGTTCACACAACCAGGAAAAAAAGTATTAGCTGAAAGCGATCGGTGATGCATACGGGACCGGTCATTGATGCTGGTTGTATTTTTGCGTATGCGAGGAAGATATGGAAACGATTCCTTTTTTTTGTGAAAAGGCTTAAGATGGAAACCATTCCTTTTTTTTTGTGAAAGGGCTTGAAGATGGAATCATTGAATATCTGTTAATTCATTTTTTTTTTATCAAGAAAACAAACTTCATAGTGTTTTCAGAAATTTTCAAAGAAGTTTGTTTTCTCAAATCATAGACTTTATGAAGAACCCTTACTAAAGTTTGAGTATCTTTGAATTTTTTAAAAATTTTGGTTGTTGTTTTGGATGGAAATATGGAATACACATTAATTTGCTGTTGACCAGTTAACTACCTTAGACCAATCCAATTTGGTTTGGTTATCTTCTTTCTATTGGTTATTGGACGGTTCAATAATTCGGTACAAAATAATTAAATAACTATTTCGCGGTACGGTCGGCTCAAAAACAAAGACATTGCTAAACCTAAATTTTGCAACTCTTTATAACGCCGCCTGTTTCTTCATTGACTGAATAAACTCAGCAAAAAACATGGCAATCAAAAAGTTTAAACCCTCCGCCGGTAAACACCATAAGAAAAGACGGTATCCACCACTGGGTCCGAAGAAAGATTTGAAGAAGAAGAAGGAGAAGAAGCCTAAGAAGTCGAAAGCTCCTGACTTTGATAAGGCCGTTGAGAAGACTAAAAGAGACGATCAGAGAAGCGAGAGTGACGGCGATGAGCAGCAACCGGATTCACAACCGATATCATCTTCTGAGCAGCTTACCTACTTCTTCAAACACCTTGAATCCGCCATTGGTGTCCGGGTCTCTTCTTTAGAGCTCGAACCCATTAAAGGTCCGTCCTTTTGATGTTGATTCGGCTTATCAATGCGTAGTTTTGATAAACTGTAGATTGTCTTGTTGATTGTAGATAAGTGTGTGATTGAGCTAGCTCAAGAATTGGAACAAGATGTAAGCAACTTGGGAGAGCATATAAAGATGTCTTATGGGTCTTCATGGAGAGAGATTCTCTGTGAAGGAGAGGCAATTGAAGGGAAAGTTAATCCTGGAAACCCATCTGTTCTTGTCATTAGTTCCTCTGCTCTGAGATCTTTGGAACTTCTAAGGTATCATTTGCATAACTGTGTGATTTTGTATCTGTTATTGTTTGATTGGACACAAATGTGCTTACTTAGACTGTTCTTTGTTTTCTCATATCTGTAGGGGTTTGAATTCGTTGACTAAGCAATGTCCAGCAGTGAAGTTGTTCTCAAAGCATTTGAAGGTTGAGGAACAGGTAGTGTTCTCTTCTTACAATGATCTGTCTAGTAGAAAATTGAATTGAATTCAATGCATATAGAAAGAGAAGCAAATGATAAACGAAATTGTTAGTTCTCATACAGAAATGAATCATGTGTTTCTTGATTCCTCTTGTTGATAGGCTTGTCTATAGCTAAGATGTTTTTGATTCTCTTGTGGATATGATGACAAAATACGATAAGTCTCTAAGGCTAATGCCTCTGCAGATAATAATGTATTTGCACGTCAGTCTGATCCTATTATAGATAATGGAAAGAGTTGGTGCATGCTCTTGTAAATGAGCCTTTTTCTCTCTTTATTTCATGTTAAGAGTCTGGGAAGTGATGATAAGATATATCAATATGTCATAGGCACATGCGATGCTGAACAAACATATTTGCACGTCAGTCTGATCCCATTGCATACACATCATTTTTGTTTTCTTCATTCCTCTTTCTTTTTTTTATGTTTTCTTGTTGAGAGTCTGGGAAATGATGATAAGATATATCAATATATTCATAGGCATTTATGCAATGCTGAACAAAAATATTTGCACGTCAGTCTGACCCCAGCCCTCATTTTTACAGTTTCTTAGTAAAAATCTCACATCATAGCCTTTCATTTTCATCTTTTGCTTGTCTACTACCTTAGAAGCAGATTTGTTCTTGAAAGTATTTTTGGTATCAATGTTTTCCTTTCTATCTTTTGGATATGATGATAAAAATATCGAAAGATGTTGATGGCATCTTTGCCAGTGAAGCAATCTTTATTTGCACGTCAGTCTGATCCTATTTTTCTCTTTCATAACCATTCTTCTTGTTGGTTGGAACTTAGAATCAATGGCTTTTGCTTTAATATGATTTATATTCAAACTGTTTGTGTTCTCAATTCTGTAGTAGATTTCTCATTCACTTTGTTACATGATTCAAATTATTAACTCAAGTTTCATTGTTGGTGACAGGTCTCTCTGTTGAAAAAACGGGTTAATATTGGGAGTGGCACACCAAGCAGGTTAGTGAATTTCATCATTTTCATTGACTCGTATATATCTGTATATCCTTCTTGCTGATTTTCTTGTTGCTTGTGTGTGCAGAATCAAAAAGCTAATCGACATAGATGCATTAGGGCTTTCACGTTTAGATACGATTGTGCTTGACATGCACACTGATATCAAGGGATTTTCTTTGTTCACACTGCCCCAAGTCAGGTTTGTATCTCAAACTCTTCATCAAGTTGCTTCCATTGTCATCAATTCATTTGTACTATTGAGTTACAATTCTGAAGAAAGAAAACTCTTGAATTTTGTTGCAGAGATGAGTTTTGGGATTTGTACAAGAACTGCTTCCACCAGAGAGTGTTGGAAGGAAGTCTACGTATCTGTCTGTATGGTCCAAAGCCATCAGCTACAAAGCTTAAGAACAAAAAGAAACAGAGATAATAAACTAACTGTGTTTCTTTACAAATTTTTGATATGTTAGCTTGATTTTGTAATGCGATTTCTTTTACTATACAGAGTGGATCCTGAACAGATTCTGAGAAAAATAGTATAAGGTTGTCTTAATTGGCCTTGGCCTTGTAGTGGTGCACTTATTCATTGAAAAAAGATACTCTATTACTCTCCAAGTCAGATCAATAAAATCCTTTCTCGGATAAATTCTCACAAAGTCAAATCAATCGAATGCATTGTTTAATGGATAAACAAAATCAATGGAGTACAAAAATTGTATAAGTCCTTCAACTAATAAATCAACAATATATCTAGCAATTATAGATGACTAGTAAATAAGTTGCGAAACACAATTTTACACTACAAAGTGGGTTTTGGTTTAGTGGCGTTTCCACGCTTATCTTAGTTATCTACAGAAGAAGTTGGCTCTAGATCCTAGTTCAAATTCCCACTTGGGAGTGGCCTCACTAAAACCACGACAACTAAACATATGCATTTTGTCCACAACTTTATCACCCAAACAAAACAAAATACTCCCTAATATAGATTCTTTGAAGCAAATAAAAATTAAAAGACATTAAGGGTTAATGAGTACTTCCATGTCAGGGAAGTCATCCTTTCGTCAGCGTACCTTTGAACATATCCAACTCACAAGTCACAACCACGACTTTTCATTGTGAAACAAGAGCTAATATAAGTAAATAAAGTCATTAGGAAAAACAGGATTAAAAAAAACTAAGCTCTATTAATTCCTTCAAGTCACTGTTATATTATATTGATATTAAAGCAGATCTCTTGACAGCAATATTTAGGCAAAACTCTCATTGGCTGAAAAGCAACCATGAGAAATCTACATTATCCTAAAAGTATGTTATAATGGGGTCATTATGAATCTTTCACAAACTAAACCTAAAAGGACATAACTCTGAATTGTTTCTTGATTAATCGAAAGTTCTAAAAGTCAGACGTCTAGAAGCTCTCTCGGTGGTCTTTCCACTATTTTCTGCGTTTATGGGATCTTCTTCCCCACCATCTATTGGAGAAACCCACAATCCCATATGTATATATCGTTACTATTACTTACCTTACCTGTTATGCTTCAGTCACCTTCCCATGTTACAGTTAAAAAATAACTCTAATATGGTTGTAAATAACTAATTGAACATTTGCCAAAGTTATCTGAATTTGTAATTTAATAATCTCTATTAGAGTTACCGTCATGTCATAATTTCGGTTTAGAGTGCAAATCGTGTATTGTGTGAATTGTAGATATGTTTTGAACTCTCATCATAGTTTATCATATCGTATACAATTAATAATTAGCTATTTAAGGGTCTTATAATAAGACCCTTTCTCATGTTTGTAGGTAGGCAACTGGTAAACAGAAACCAGGAAGTGTGTAACTACTAATTGGTTGATCTTTATATATATTACAAAGTAATAATCTTTTATATATACTGATATACATAATACTTAGGGGGGGGGGGGTCCATCTTGATCTTGTACATATTAAAAACAACAAAATTAAAAAAAACAATACAATTCACCGGAATTCAGAAAGTTGATAATCAATGTCCATTTTATCTAAAGCACACGTATTGCTTAGGCATATTCCATGTCACATTTTTGGATTAGCTCGAATAGTCATACAGGAACTGAAAGTGGTATACAATTTACTTTTGTTTCTACTTAATTAATTAACCAACGATCACATTAAAAATCCATCCAAATAGAAAAGAAAAAAAAATTACTGTTTTTATTTTATATATACAAATTAAATAATTAATTATTATGAATGGTATACCTATAAATAATTTGAAAATATACTGAAAACGATTTGTTTATTCGTGAAAAACGTGGTTGGATTATGTAAGTACATATGTTTTGACCGTCCTGACTTTGTTGAACAAAAAAAACAATATCAATGAGTTATACGTGTCCTTTTTTGTTAGAATTACCAATGACTACGTCTATACGGTTAAGGAAATAGTTTATACTTATATAAATAGTTGGTACATCGATCTAACATGCATCTTGGACCGTCTGAGACATACAATTGATTCTCTCGATCGTTTAAAGCACTATGTTGTGTAAATTTACTGTCCAAGGCAATTCGTGATATTAAATACAAACGTGAACACGTAAACGAGTGTTTATATATATCGTTTCAAATTTCAATGTAACGAAACCAAAATGAGATCATATCTATTCTTCATAAGAAAAAAATTTGGAATGTAGAAAAAGTAAGGATAGAAGATGACTACAAATTATTCCATGCTTAAGTGTTCGATTTGACAAGATTATTAAACACTTAAGATTGGATGTCATTTATTCAGTAAACTTTTTTTTTACCACAAATGTAAAAAGTAGAAAACAATTCGATTCTTCCTTAAAAAAAACGGTCATTCTGATGATGGCCAAATCATTTCTTTTAGATTTATATTAAAAGTGACAACTGATTCGCACATATCCTAATGACGTAAGCATGATTCATTTAATTTGATTTATATATAATTTCTATTAATAAGAGTTTAGTCACAATATTTTTCTAAATGCGAACGCACACTTTCCAGTTTCGTACGTACCATAGCTTCCTTTTAGCCAAATTATATGACGTCAAGGTTACGTATGTATCTATGTATGCAAAGTGACACGTGTCATGTCCCTAAGTAACACGTTCCCAGTTAAAGTAGCTAACTTTTTGGACAGGGTCTATGAGGTTAATCTGAAAGTTTTATCTAAAAGTTTTTCTGAATGTTTGGTGATTATCTGAAAGTTTTTCAAACCTGACTGGCTAATGTAAGTTAATTAATTTAAAATGTTAATCTACGTTGTCTTACTTAGTTATTCATTAGCTTAAACAGTTACAAGTCTAGCACTACTTTTGGTCTTTTCACTCTATTAGCTAGTTATAAGTATCGTAAACTTTTTACTTTCCTTACTATTGAATCAACAGAAAATTTAGATATGCATATTCGATCAAACCACATAAGCCTGTCTAGTCTATAACCGATGATAAAAACTGCACCCAATACAAATCTGAATAAAATCCAGTTTTACACACAAAATGCAAAAAGAAAAAAAAAAAGAACCAATTGGAAACTAGATTTAGAGATAAAAATATGGATTTTTTAAAAGAAAAAAAACTTGGATACACAATTCTTGCTTTAGCAGCAGAATCAAAAGACGTCAACGCTTGGGTCATAATGACGTCACCATGACACAAAGCAATCAGCGTTGTGGTTCCAAACAATGCGGCGGTGTAAGCTTTTTGAAGCCCATTAGGGCCCACAAACCTTTCAAAGCCGTCTTGATCATTTCTCTCTATAAATAGGCACACACAATCACAGATCCAAAAACACATCCAGATTCATTTATCTTAACGAAATAAAATAAGACGACGACTTTAATTAGTTGGTAGTATATGAGAGCTGCTGCGATAAACAGAGCAAATTCGCTTGGAGGTTTATTTTCATTTCGGTTTATCAAAAACATCAAATCCATGTCTTCTTCTTCACAAAACTTCGTGTCAAGATCTGTAATCAAGAAAGTCTTCGCCAAGCATCAGAAAGAAGGCGATGGAGCCGTCGTTAGACGTGGCATTTCCAGGTTCTTTAGTCTTTTCTTCTTTCTCTTTTCTTTTTTTATATAAAAAATTTAAATGATTATTAAATCTCACAACTTTTCTGGATTTTCTCTTGTGGTATAAATTCAGGAGTGAGCAGAAGTTGTTAGACCCTTTCTTGATGCTAGATGAATTCTCCGGTAAAATTCTTGAAATTCCCATTGAAACCAACCATATTTATTTGTTTATTTGTCCATATCAAAAGCAGTCATTTTGATTTATAATTCATTAAAATATAGCTCTTTCATTATCTATTTAATAATTCTCTAATTTCTGTTTTACTATGTTTGTCCATGGGAGCAGTTTCACCTCCAGCTGGATTCCCTGATCATCCTCACAGAGGTCGAATCACTTATGCACACACATTGATAGATACATGACCTAGAAACTTTTTTTTTTTTTTTTTTATATCTAAGGCTCTCTAACATTTTATTGAAATTATGATGAACAGGGTTCGAAACTGTTACATACGTACTAGAGGTAAAAATATAAAATAAACGTTTTTCCCCCTACAACTTTTAGTAAACATATTTTTTTTTTTAAATTCTAATCCGAGTTTTAAAATTTTGGCGTAGGGAGGAATCACTCACCAAGACTTCAAAGGTCATAAAGGTACAATCTATGCCGGTGATGTTCAGGTAGGAAAAAAGACATAACAGAAATAACTGCTCAGTAATTCGTAAAATCCAACAATTTGAAAAAACCTAGACATCTTCTTGATTTTCTTTATTTTTCTTTACAGTGGATGACTGCAGGAAGAGGAATCATTCATTCTGAAATGCCTGAAGAAGAAGTTAACAAAGGCTTACAACTTTGGATCAATCTTTCCTCTAACGAGAAAATGTAAAGAAAACCCACTTTCAAAATTCCTCTTTTTTATGGAGTTTCTAAACCGGAATATTGATTCTTTAGTTTGATTCCGACAGGATAGAGCCAAATTACCAAGAACTGTCGCATTCAGTCATACCGAAAGGAGAAGAAAACGGTGTCGAAGTCAAAATCATAGCAGGAGAATCAATGGGAATTCAATCCCCTGTTTACACGAGAACACCAACAATGTTCCTCGATTTCACTCTCGATCCAGGAGCTCAGTTCCACCAGAACGTTCCCGAATCTTGGAACGCGTTCGCTTACGTTCTAGAAAGCGGTGAAAGCGGCGCCGTTTTCGGCTCCTCGAGCTCTTCCCCTGTTTCAGCACACAATGTTGTTGTCTTCGGACCAGGGAATGATGGTGTTAGCGTGTGGAACAAGTCATCTTCCAAGAAGTTGCGGTTTGTGTTAATAGCTGGTGAACCGATTGGCGAACCGGTGGTTCAGTACGGTCCGTTCGTGATGAATACTCAGGCTGAGATTGATATGACCATTGAAGACTATCACTATGGTAAGAATGGTTTCGAAATGGCCAAGTTTTGGAGGTCACAATGAGAAAGAGAAAAGATTATATAATCACTATTTTATTGTTTTTGTCTGCACTTTTAGTTTCTTTATTACTGTGTGTTTCTATTGTAAGCGACAATAATATAATTACATTTAATAAATTTGTTTCTTTGGCCAAAAATTTGGGTGGGAACCCATTGAAATCCGAGGCTGACTTTTTTTCAGATCCAACCTAGTCATCATCATTAAGTTTTCCACCATTTTAGTTTAAGTTACAATTGTTCATACAATCATACTATTATATTGGCATATGAAGAAAGCATAACACACTTGTAATGATTCTTAGAATGTGAACAAGACATAGACGAGACAATTGTTAAATTACCAAACGCGTATTAACACGGCCAAGTGACATTTACACGATTGTTACTTTATGCATCTTATATCTAATTTGATTGCGAAGTCCGGTTGTTTAATGCATATGAACGTATTTTGTTACTATTTTAAACACATTGTTGCTGATAACTAAAAACTACAAACTATGCAAAGCGGATGAGAATTCTAAAGGAAAAAAAAAAGCTCATCCGTTTTATATTTTTATTCAAATAACATACTACATTTTCTATTATTTCGATTCAACAATTAATTTTAATATTTAGATTTAACTATGGTGATAAAGAGTGAAGGCATTGAATACACTGACTACATTGTTTCAACTTTCAACTGCCACATCAATATCGAAGTTAATTAAGTAAATTAATTGACAACTGAAATAAACATTTGAATCGTTTTGTTTAGCTTTGTAAACTTGCGGGCCACCGAGTTAAAGAGCAGTTGGAAAATATCAAAATTGATTTAACCGTCACAAAGTTTACAAAAGTTACAAGTAGAAAGTAGAAATGAGAACATAAACTTATACACTTTCTTGTCCAATTTGCTTACAGTTCTTCTTTATCTGTAACAAAAACACATTTCTCTCTCTTTTGCTTTTAACTTCAATTGATAACTAAAAGAATGTCTTCTTTCTCTCTTTCTGTCTATATGTTAACCGGTAACAAGATTCAATCCGAAAACCAACCCTCGGTACAAGAGAAACCAACCGGTACAGAGATATCGGTTACCTCGAACAGCAAGAAGAAAACGACTTCGTCCCATCGTTCTCGTTCTTAACCAAGCTAACACGATTCACGGTGAGTTCCTCTTTGTAAGAATCGGAATTCAGCTGCTTCCGACTAATGTTTCCATAGATTTCCCGAATCACCATCTCGAAAGCCGTCTTCACGTTCGTCGAGTCTAGCGCCGATGTCTCCATGAAAAACAATCCTTCAGACTCCGCAAGACTCTTGCCTTCCTCAACACTCACCGCTCTTATGCTCTCCAGATCGCATTTGTTCCCAATCAACATTTTCGCTACTGTTGTATCCGAATGGGCTACACCAAATCAAAAGATTCAATCTAATCACAATTTGACTTGACTTTGAATCGAAGTCATCATAAATCTTCAGATCTATAAATTGATCCCAAATCAGTCTCTAATCCGATCAAATTCAACACTCGAATTGCAGATCTCAACCTAAATCGAAATCTCAGAGAGAAAGAAACTTGAAATCGGAGAGATTAAAAAACGTACTGTTGAGCTCATCGAGCCAGCGACCGACGTTCTCGAAGGTGGAGCTGCGAGTGATGTCGTAGACGACGAGAGCTCCGACGGCGCCGCGGTAATAGGCGGATGTGACGGCGCGGAAGCGTTCCTGGCCGGCGGTGTCCCAAATCTGAGCTTTGACCTCCTTGCCGTCGATGACCATGCTCTGAGTCTGAAACTCGACGCCGATCGTGGCCTTTGAGTTGGGATTGAACTCGTTCCTGGCGTAGCGGGTGAGGAGGTTGGATTTGCCGACGGCGGAGTCTCCGATGATCACTATCTTGAAGAGATACTCTTCACCTCTCTCGTCGTCCGACATTTTTCTTCGTCGTCGTCGCTTTTGCTAATTTTTGGTCTGTGACGCTTTCTTCGGAGGAGAGAGAGAGAGAGAGAAGTGAGAGGTTTGCCTTTATTAGGCTGTGTTATGTTAATGAGTGTGTTCACTTTGCGCATGAATTAGATTTTCCATCATATGATATCATTTTAACTATAATCACGCAACCAAATCGAACCGTGAACCACTCTGTAGTCTGTACTAAACCTGAATTTTATCTATTTTTAATAATTGTGTGATTTCATTACTACGACATCAAGATATTGAAGTGTTTGTATGTCTTATTGAAAGAAAAATAATAGCAAAAGTTGAGTTTTAGTTTGTTTTCTTCTAATAATTATTCTTTCATAAAAAAAAATGTTGTAACTTTAAAAGAGTTGACTAACACTTTATTAAATTTAGTAACAAAATAAGTAAATCAGAACAAAATTAATTGAAAAACACCACATTAGATGATTTTTTTTATTGATACGATAAAAGGAAAGAATGAGAGTTACTCAACAATTCATTAAGTTACAAATAATAATTGTTGTCATAACAATTAACAAGGAAATCTTAAATACGTACATGAGATGTATTTGATACGTCATTAGGCTTGCTTATATGGAAAAAAACAAATCACTAGGCTTGTTATTTGATAACGTTGTTTGTTCCAGACTCCGATCCAGAGATGGTTTAACTTACTGATTTACATGAATGGATATTTTATAAACCTTTACATATTAAATAGTAAATACTGATGTAGTTACTGTAACGAATTCAGTTCAAATAACTTTTGAAATGAAATTTGTCTAACAATACAAACGTAGAATGAATTCGCAGACCAAAACTTTGGATCGAATATTATACACACACATCTCTTTCAAATCTCACATAGTGGGTTCTGTTCTACGTTCTAGGCTAAATTTACAAACTTTTCTTGTTAGGAAAATTCGATTTATCGATTTGAAGTTATTATAAGTTGATATGGAGGTCAAGACTTTGAGAATTTGCCAAAACCAGTTTTTATTAATTTATCCCTTTCACTTTCTCTAGACCTCCAACATCATTTATAATCGAAATCCTTTTTGCTGTGTTTCTTTCTGTCTTTGAAATGAGTCCTTTGTCTCTTTTTCTTCTCTATACTTTCTTGCATCATATTTGGAAACATATCATCACATCATTTATCATCGCTTCTTGCATGCCCCACAAGTACATCTCTCCATTCCTTTTTCTAGTGACTGCACATAACAAATAATCAACGATTTGAGTGAGTCTATGAGACCTCAGAATCTAATATTAACCTCAAACACGACGCAGACCACTGCATTGATTGAGCGTATGATGTACATAACCATTTTCGTCAGTTTACGTAAGCGATTATGTACATAACTCTTAATTTAGAACAGTATATATAACCATTAACATAATTTTTATTAGTAAAGTTTTTTAGGAGAAAAACTAGGGTATATATATATATACCACCAGGATCTAGATCAAAATCTAATCTAATCTAACATGTTTCATGTATTGGATCAATTGTACAAAAGTCGATAATCAATGTTATCATAATTGTTTTTTTCAACATATATACCATAGTATTTTCTCAAAAAAAAAAACATATATACCATAGTTTAGTTATGACTTATTTTCAAAGTAACATTTCTCAACATACACATGAGGAACATGAAAACATGATCACCTTGCATGCATAGATTCATATGTATTGTATGGACGTACCTCGACTTGGTTTTGAAGACCTTTGATATGCTCAACAGCCAAATCTAACATATCTGCGTAGCTCGTTTGCTGCAAAAAAGTTAAACATTATTTGTAGACTTAATCTCTTTACTTACTCCTAAATTACATAAAAAGTAATAATTAACATATCTCACCTTATCCATATTAGGCACCAGTTCTTGTAGCTTCTTCAGCTTCCCGCTTATTCTCGTTCTTCTCTCCTAAACACACGCACCAAAATCCCGTATTAAACTTAATTTTACTCTTATCTTCTTTGGTTTTTACTAAATTTTTGTTTTAACAGTTTTGCAATAATTATTGTATCCAAGTAATAGCATAAAACTAACCCTTTCAGCGATGCTGCGTGGATGAGTCGCGCAACCGCGCTTGGCCCTGACCTTACAAGGCACTGAGTCCTCTGGGATGTTCATCAAACTTTCCATTCTCGCCATTTCCAAAGAAGTTTGCGGCATGCTAAACTAAAGAATCAAAAACCATGCATGTCAAAGTGAACATAAATATAACCACTTAATAATCCAAACCAAATATCTATTCAAAAACTTCAAACAAAAATCAATTTCTTAACAAAGGACTTGTGAAAATGTTATATACATAAAGCAATCATAAACCTCGTGCAAGCTATTTATATGTATCACACACACAACACCATTCAACTTTGGCCTCTACACACTTGAACTTGTGCCCCTAATATACATTTATTCCAACTTGGAATTCTATTGTTAACTTTACGGAATTTAATCTGATTTAAGGATTTCTTATTAATTATATGACACTCTTTATAATATCATTTCTTAGCATACAACTTGGGAACCATATAGATCAATCACAGCCCTTCTCCAAGCTAATACAAGCTAACAATACACAAAACCACTGAACTTTCGGAATATGGAAAAATTCACACTTTATTAAGGAGAGATCAAGAATTATTAGCTTTATACTGTTTAGAAAGTTGATATAATTAATTAACATTAGAAATACACATAGTAGCCACAATACTATACAAATACCTGAGTTTCTAAGGTGAAAAAGTCGGTGGTCTTGGACCGCTTTCCGGGTTCGTCAATGGTGAAACTGATGTGAGAAGATGAGTTGTCCCAATTGTTATGATTATTTCCAAAACTCATACTCGTCGATGGGACACCGTTTATAGCCGCCGCAGCCGCCTCAACCTCTGGGATTCGCGGTAGAGAGCTATGTTCTTGATGACTATTACTCCCGCTGGAGAATCTTGCCTCCGACTTCAACCTCGAGGGCCCTCGCTCTCCTCCGCCGTATCCTCCGTTTGGCCGTCCTAGAGAAAAACCTGCTCCCTCTTCCATGAACAAACTTAGATCGAAAGAGAAAGAAAGAAAGAGATATATGTAATGTGATGTAGGGTTACGACTAATTGTTATCTCAGTATTTTAATAGCCAGTATGAGTTTTTTAAAATGTATTTTACAAAATGGAAGAGAATGGGTCTTCTTTGAGGCTCGAGGACCCCTTCCTTTGTCTCTACTCAACTTTTTATTTATCGCCAATTTGACAGAGAATAACGATTCATGAAAAAGAATCTTAGAAATATTCACTATTCGAATTCCAATTATTAAATAAACAAATTATTATGAATATAGTATTGCAAGAGGGGTAAGTTTTCTTGGGGCTCGCACATGGATTACAGGGGAAAATAAACCGGACGGATGCAATGAACCGGAGAGCAAATTGCAAATTGCTCAAAAATGTATAAATTATTACTTGCAACCAACGATAGAGTAATAAATCTATTACTTATAATGACAAGTAGGCGTATCCAAAAATCAAAATAGAGTCTACGATAAAGCCATGTCAGCAAAATGGGCCCTCATGGCTGCTTTGTCAGAAGTAAAAGAGCAAGTGGGATGGATATAATATTTGCCAAGTGGAGTATACTTTTATTTCTTTTTGTAATGATTCGTTTTTCTTAACATATACTTTTGGCAAGTGCATGTTTTTATATTACACGCTATTTGCATTAGATTGCATTATTAAACTACACAACTTGCCTCTCCTGGAAATACGTATTTAACTATTCATGCATGTATGATATAGATATCAACCATGGTTTCTCCAAACAGAAAATGAAAGAGAGAGGTGTGTATAAAATCTACATATAGATTAAATCTTAACCAAAAAAAATCTATTGATAGATATTTTGAAAGCCTAGGTGTGTAGTAGATTTTCAACTAAACTTTTAATAAATTAAAAGAAAAACTGAAAAAGTCATATCTTTTTATGCGCAGAAAATTAGGATAACATGGTTTAGATTTCACGAAGTCAAACTTATGTGTTAGACTTTTTTTGTTTGTTTCTAACACAAAAATGATCTGATTCATATCCACTATATTGGTGACATGAATTAACCCATATTCCTAATCTAATTTTTGATGCTTCAACTTATTTTGTGATGTAAGATTCATAATTATTGTGATAGTATACTCTCCTTCCGCTTCTAGAATCATATATTTTACATTTTTCATACATTTTAAAATTTTGTTGCAGCACCATATGTAGCTAAATTTTATATTTTACTGATTTATATTTGTCAAAAATACTAGCTTTATATAGAAATCTAATTATACATCTTTGTAAAACAAAATAAAAACATTAATTTACATAAAAGGAAGAGAATGTTAATTATTGAAACATTTTGCCTATGTGTGTTGTTGTAATTATTTTGGTACAATTCAAAATTGAATAAGAGGCAGAACCTAAGTAGGGGTTAAAATTTTGTATTAAAAGTATGGGATGAAAATGTAAGAAACGTAAGAAGTTACCGTTGGGATCAGTGGGAAGATGTTGGTCATAGAATCCGGCTGGAGAGCTTCTGTGCCGGAACAAAGAAGAAGAAGCACCGGAATCCGAACCTAACGAAGATAGCTCGCCGGGGAAGTGTTGACCGGCGGCGTTAGGATTACGCTGCTGCCGCGGCGGAGGATTGTGGTGGGACTGAGAGCCAAGGGAGGAGAAATCACGTGTGGCTCCGTCGGCTGAGTCATATCGATTGTTGTTGGCATCACCGCCCTCTTGAGAGGTGGACTTGGAGGAGGAAGAAGGAGGGTACATAATCGCCGGACAAGAAAAACCCTTCAAAAGTTAATCTAATGGTTAGGGGAAATTCTTGAGGGATAGTCTTTAGAAAGAGAAAGAAAGAGAGAGATTATGAGAAAATAATATAATAGTGCAAGAGGGTTACTAATTATAGTTAGGGATTGTTGAATTAAATATTTTAATTAATTAATTGAAGTAAAGGGAACGAATTAGAGAGAAGGCTTGTGGGCTGGCTTGTGGCCTGTGCTTGACGAAGAGAGAGTCTCCTACTCACGGTCCGTCAACGCACGTGCACCTCACGTGTTTGACAGATGGAATCATGGAAGTTTTGAGTCTTTAAGTCTTTGTCGTTCTTTACATTTTAATTAATTGTAGTTTTTCTGATAACCTGGCTTTTGTTTATTTGGTAAATCCATTAACTGAATGAAGAAGATTTAATTTCTCTAAATGGTAAATGGTCATATAACTTAGTAAGTATAGAAACGATATTAATTTAAATAAAAAATCTACCTTTTTGTTCATGTTTCCGACCACCCATATGATCATAGACAAAGGCAGACCATGACAAAAAAACATCCATTTTACATCTATACGATCTACGTACTGATTGTATATTTAAAGCAACGCATGTCCTTTTTTATTAAACTATCGTGAACGCCCATAGATTAGGGCAGACCATTGTATTTAATTTTTAAAACATTTAATTGGGATTCCATAATTTTGTTTAAGATGGCAAAGATTCTGGTAGTATAGTCTGACACAAAAAACCTATACCACACTTTTGTGTAATCAGTTTAGTTGAAACTTCAAAGTGGTTTTAGGAACTTATAATGAAATTAATTTATTGTTCATGTGTTTTTGAAGTTAATACCGCTTCAACATTTGCCAACTGAACTGAAAATCGTTTCTCTTTCAGACGAAAACAAATATTCTTATACATTTTTTTTTTTAAAGTTAATATAGGGCCTAAAGGTCTGACCCATTCAGGTTAACTCCCTTTCAGAGCCTTTCTTCAATACAGATCTGGCCCATTCAGGTTAAAGATCTGGCTCAAATTTTGTTTGCTGTCAAGCTTCATCAACTTCGAAAGGGATTTGTAACAAATAGTTAGTTGCCGATCAATCTGTTTCTTTTTTCTCAAATTGAGAAAATTCGGTTGGTCATGTAGTACGATTTTCTGACATTTCCTTTTTTGTGAAACCTGCAAAAAAAATATGACGTTTTTTTTGTATGAAGGAGAATATGACATCGTTTTTAGATCTTATACCAAATTAGCAATATACAAATATATCGAAGGGGTAACTTTGGATTTCAGTTTGCTTCCATTTGGTTAATATTGTTTTTCATCTGTTTTGAGAATTATTGTGAAAACTAAAATTTGTTATTTTTGGTTACGTTTTCTTTGAAAATAACCAAACCAAAATTATGTGGAAAATGATTAATGAGAATCATTATATACCATTATGCTTAACTTGACTGAAACATTACATTGATAATTTTCTAGATACGGTATACTCCTTCTGTCCCATAATATAAGCTGTTTGGGTTTATATTTTTTGTTCCATAATATAAGCTGTCCAAATCTCAATGCAGAAAAAAAGAAAAGAAAAAATAAATAAAACAGCAAAAGCAAGAAAGAGAAAGTTAGAGATTGGTCTAAAAGATTTTATATTTATTTATATCTTTAATTAAGTATTTTAAAAGACAGAAATTAATATTTTCTTAATAATTGTGCCTAAGCCTAAAACAGCTTATAAAATGGGACAGAGGAAGTAGTAAGTAAGCTACAAACATTAGTTTGATTAAGAATCATATATATGAATGAAATTTGGCCATTTGGGTCATATTGTATGCATTAATTAAGAAAAAGTTTCTATAGCATTGCACTAGAAATCTAGAATCTAAGAAAAATAAACTAACTTTAGCCCTAGAAAGGAAGACTCAAAGCTCTTTTTCACGCCCTTTCGTGCGTAGCCACGAAGGAGATAATGCTACTCTTTAAGTAATTAATAAATACTTAACAAAATGTTATTCTCTTGATTTCTAGATTTTTCTCGCAGCATGTTGATACGTAAATTACTACCACTGGAATATGTTGCTAACGTATTCATTATGGTATGACTAGTGGGATTGAAGCTTGTATAGTCAAAATATGTACTCAATAATGAATGCATGATAATAATTAAAGAATTTACATAAATTTTCGAAGCTTTAACGTTAAAATATAGTTTTGGATAAAAGATTTTAGGTGTTGTTAAAAAAAAGGATAAAAGATTTTAGGTCATCCACAGTCAATTAAAAGTTAAAACACATGTATAGAAACAAGTACGTGTGCAAAAGAGATAACGAAAATTGAGAATACGAAAGCAAACGAATCTGGAAATAATTTATCTTTGGAGTTCACGTTTTCCTCAACATTCTGACAACTGTAAGACGCTGTATCGTTTTTGTTAATTGGATATTAATAAATAATAACCTAATTCAAGCTCTGTTAATCTGTCATTTTCGTTAATTAGTTTTCATCGATTTGTTTTTTTCGTATCAGTTGACGAGTAAGCTTTCAAGTGAACTTGTAAGTCGTAAGCAGAGGAGTGTTTTCTTATTTTTTGTAATTTCTTTGCATACTATATATATACAAGAATCGTATATATATATGAGTTATTTACTGAGAGCTAAATTTTTTGTGTTACAGATCTTTACTGAGACTTGGAACTTTTTTTCTTTTCAACGACTTGGATATTAACTATGTAAACATTTTATGCCTTTGGTAAAAAAAGAAAAAACTATGTAAACATATCTGCACACGTAATATATTAGTAATGATTAATCTCTTTGTAGGCTTAAATTTAAAATTTGAAATTAACGTTGATAGTTGAAACAGTACTATATTTATTTATTTTTCCTACTAATTTGTTACAGTTTGTCCTTTTGTGACGACATAATAATACAGTATGTATTTCCATGATTCACTAATCAAGAAAAAAAATTCCCTGATTCAAAAAAATTAATGGTCAAAACTCAATCATGGAGTCTCCATGTGCTAAACGGCCTCGTGTACCTTTAATTCTTAGCACTTTTTTGTTAAAGGATTCTTGATACGTACTATTATCTGTTTACACCAATATGACTTAATCATCATATACCTATATACCTGTAGTTTTCTGAAAATGTTAATAGTAATAAATTACAGAGAAAAATTAGAATGTGTACGTCGTAATCGTTAACAACGTCTATTGTGGTTTTTGTTTATCCCTTTGGATTTTCCTTGGTGGTTCTCTCCTTTAGTGGAGAAACTGATTGTATGCTATTTTTTTGTTTTGGTGGATGAAAGATTTTTTTCGTGGAAATTCTTGGCAACCTAACCACATCAATTGGTTAATCCTCGCAAACTTGTCATGTTAATGAATTGAAGCTTTTTAATTGTAAAGAATATTCATTGAGTCGATACCTACCTATAAAAGCATCTTACTAGGAGCAAATTCCAAGATAGACCATCTTCGTTTATAATTAAGTAATGCCATCTTTTATACTCCGAGTACTATACATTCAGTATAATAATTCGAGTGATAACAAACAAATAATACATATTTCCGTTAAATATAGTATTTTGCAAGAAAACACAGAATATAATAAATAAAAATAGATACCAAAAGATGAGACAAATGAGGAAGGCTAAGTTAGTTGTTGGAGGCTGCTGTCTGAATTACGCCGCCGTGGGGTCCCTAGCGAACTGCCGAACTGTTAGAATCACCACAAGAATAATGTATGACTTATGCTTTTTTTTTTTTTTTGAACACGGGATAACTTTTCCATTAAAATTAGCTTCTCGAACTTCGAAAAGTTCTCAAAGCGTGTTTGGCTACAAGGTCAGCCTTAGCATTAGACAGACGAGGAATATACTTAAACTGAAGAAAAGAAAAAGCATTTTCGATTATTCTGATGTCTTCTAGAATTCCATAGACTTCCAAAATCTGAACCTTCGAATTGATCGCTTTGATCAAGATAATTGAGTCCGATTGCAGAGTTAAAGATCTGATATTCTTTTCCACTGCCATGAAAAGCGCTTCTCGAATAGCTAGGGCTTCTGCAACCAGTGCAGAGGGAACGAACGATAAAACCGCAGAAGAGACTAGCTCTTCGCCGGAGGAGTAAATCCAACCGAGTCCTGCGGAACCAACTAGCCTTGTTCAGTTAGCTAAGCTGCGTCAGTGCAACAAGTGATAATCTGATTTGAAGACTTATGACTTATGCTAGTTAGTTATTTTTGTTTGGCAATAACAATGTATACAAATGAAGATTTTCTAGAATATTCCACTCAATTTTTTTTTTCTAACTTCATCAGCTTACTCTTGAAATCAAGTAGGTGATATTTGTGCTCAAAGTTAATTAAGAAAGACCACTATATATTTGAAAATGTATTGATAATTAATGGCTGTCGATTGTGGAAATTTTGGCAACAAGTAAAGTCAGCCAGAAGAAGTAAATGCAATGTGGCCATGTGATGTTATAGTTAAGCAATGTGGAAGTAAGTATCAAAAATCTTTTCAAAACTGTTTGAGCACAATAATTCCAACATTTTGTTTGTTATTGCTTGTCGAGCATATTTGTTGCCACCTTTGAGTTTTAAAATGCTATTTTATTTGTTAACTTTTTTAAGAACTGCTGTGAAATAAACTTCGGAGAGACTCATGGGTTAAATTAAATGTAACATAGGTTCTATACGGTCAAAGAAGAAGTCAATAGAATTGAAGGTTCTGCATTGGTACTGAGAGATACATACAGAAAACCTATACTTGGAGGGTTTTCTGTCAATATTGAAAGTGCATTGAAGGTCAACCTTTACAGTCATTTGTGGACAGGGAGTATGCAAAGTCACTGAAGTTACGTTTTTACAAGACAAGAAAGAGCTGCTGGTGTGAGCGGTTAACAAACCGATCGAGAGCATGGCCTTTCTTTAGCTACCATTGGAGCTTATATCTGTTTTGAATCTTTCATTTTTTTGGAATGGAGGATAG